TAAATGTATATAAAATAAACAAATAATGGGCCATCTTAAATAATGGCTTATTTGGAACATTGAACAAAACGGAAGAACATGAGTTCACCGCTAAATCTACTCTCCAGTCAGGCTTTGTATCATTTTTTTTGAATTGCCTTTTAGATTGTGTAATGTTAACCTTTAGCACTCTGCATTACTAATATTATTTCCCTTTCATTCTTTTTCAAAGCCTGTTAATTTCACTCCATTGTTTTCTGCTGCCATAGCAGGGTATGACAACACAAGTATAAAATTAAAGCAACCTATTGTTGAGGGATCAGTCACATTCTGTGGCAGGATAAACTTTTTGTACAGCAAATGAAGTCACATACGGAGTGATAACGTTTGAAGAATGCAAAACTTCAAAGTGACTAACCAGGAACCAAGAGAAGTGGGACATAGTCTACGATCTTATTTTTATATATGAGAATGAAGGTAGTCAGTCTTTGTACTAATGTTGACTTACTTCTGCTGCATATTGCCTTTCACAATATCTTGAATAGTATTCTATATTTTTTTTTATGTAAAGGGAATTTAAAAAGAAACAATAAGAAAAATAGGTGATATGGTTATTCCATCTAAATCTACCTCCCTTGTGCTCACCGGTATTCCCTGCATTCTGGACAATCGTGCTTGCTGTAATTATTCATAGGTGTTGAAATCTATCCTGGTTTTGTCTTGCAGACAGAATATCTACATCTTGTGTCTAATCATCTTTGTACAGTTTCAGGTGACGGTTTTAAATTCAGAATTACCAATTTTCCTAGAATGAAAATTTGCTTCTTCCACCATTAAGAATGTTAGGGAATCTTTTATGTCCCATCATTGCCTTGGATAAATAATGGACCATTCTATTTAGATTGCAAGTGAAGATGGAAGAACAAATATATCAGATGCCATTTGTTTGGAGTGAAAAACGGAAAAGCATACATAGTAATAGAAAGTAAAGCATGCATAACAATAGAAAGGGAGGTGAGGTGATAATGCTCACATGCATTTAACACCTGCTTCAGTGAAATGGAAAACCTTGTTAATTTTACATCTTTTCATTTGTACCTTCTTACTTGTTTAAATAATGACCTACATTTTTAACTTAAGTTTTTTTCTAATATTTTGCTGGAGTTGTTCAGCACAAATACTTAACAATTTTCATTGGGCTGTTTCTCTTCAGGATGTTGGTGATTATGGCTCTCCACTATTTTCTGCCCCTTGTAGTGCTTAATAATTTTCATCTTTTTGCCATCTCCCCCAAACTCTGCTCTGCAATCCAATCACTAAATCTCACCAGGTCATTTGTGCATTGCTTTCCTCTAGGCCTTTTATCTTCAATCTGTCCTGTATGTATCAAATTTTCCTAGCCCTCACTCCTCATTTTGTACCCCAGAAATTTCATTTGTTTCTACTTGATGTTAAGTATAAGTACCTTTTTTGCTACCATTGTCTCTAGAAATTCTGTTGTTGCTATTCAGTTCATGATATTCTCAACATCCTTCAGTAGAACCACATTTCTGCTGCTTCATGTCTCCTCTACATTCACTGCCATATAAAAGGACATACTATATAACAGTTCAATACTCTTTTCTTTCTGACAATTTTTTTTTTTTTTTTTTTTTTGTTTTATTTTTGTTAATACTTTGCTCAGCTCTTGGAAGGCATCTTTCGGTATCCCAATACGCTTTCGAATTTTCATGTTGCACTTACACTTCTCAGATATCTAACTTATTGCACCTGCTTGATTTTGGTATCTCCAATGTATAATTTGCATGTTGAGCTGTCTCTCTTTTGCTAATAACCATGCCTTCAGTCTTCTTGCAGTTGATATGTAGTCTTTTCTTCTCTACCTTCTGCAGGAGTTCTCATTTCTTTTCTGTGTCTGCTATGAAAGGTGTTATTTGCATATCTTGTGTTAGGATTGTGGCTGCCAATAATGAATCCTGGTAGACTTCTAATTCTTCTATTGCAATCTGCCTTCTGATTTCAGTGTCACACTTTCTGTCTTCTGCAGATACTTAAATTGTTCTTGTTTGATTTTTGTATCTACAATTTGTAATTTTTTGTGTTGGCTGGCAACCATATATTCTGTTTTATTCTAATTGGTTGTTCTTGCTTTCCTTCACAACCTTTTGTCAGAGTCCCAGTAGTTTTCTTTGTGTGTCTGTTATCAATAGTGTGTTGTTAAGTTTGTGGCTAATGATAGGGACATTTTCCAAGGTGCTTTCAACTGAAGAATTATGTTTTATCAGAAAATGAAAATATGAAAACCATTAAATTTTCCTGGAACTGCCAGTATCATTAAATCCAGAATATGAAGATGTTCGTGTTTTAAATAGCAAGTTCTTCAGCTGATTAAACCAAAAGTTATTTTGATTCCCATTAAAATATGCATATAAATAGGTTATGTTACAGAAATGAAAATTGGCCGAGAAATTAGGTCAAATCACTATTCTCATTGTGTCTAGGGTAGGAGGGAATAATTTTGTGCATGTGTGTTTTGGGGTTTTTTGTTTTTTTTTTGTTTTTTTTTGTTTATTGATTGATTTTATTTGAAGGATGAAGAGGCATTTTTAAATTATACAACAGCAAATACATTTCCCTTGTGCTTTTGTTCATTTAATGTAAAAACACTTTGTTTCATTATGTGAATAGTACTCCTCAAAAATAACGTGTTTATTTATGGATCAGCACTTCTGACAAGGGTAAGTTTTACTCAGTAGCACTTCTGTTTAGCACTGGAGTAAATTATTTGTGTACATTCAAATAAATATAAAGTAATATATATGCTCCTGAAAAATTATTTTGGTTGAGCTATCTGGGGAAGAAGTGTGAGTTTGTAAACAGTGACTATTACTGCTACTAATGCAATACTCTTCATTAAAACGAATCAAATTCTCTTAGTCACTGGCGTGTTTATCCAAAAATAAATATGCTTAAATTCACCTTCATCCCTACCATGCACCAACAGCTTAGGGGTAGAATCTCTGACTGACTGCCAATCCGGGTTTCAGTCCTAGCTAGTGGCAAACAGATGTCTATTCACACTGATGAGCAGTGATACACCAAAATGGTCGGACTGTGGATGACTATATAAAATTTGTGCATTTAGGTAGCAAATTTTCTTTAAGGCTAATATTAAAAATAGCATTTTATGTTGATTAATTTTAATGATTGGCTTTTACAAATTACGAAAAATCCTTCTTGGGCAAGGAGGAAATTCTGTCACAAATTATTCAAAGTACTTTTCGGAAGAAAAGTATGGGGTGGGGAAAATGATCTTAACTAAAGTCAAAAGCTTGAACCATATTTCTTATACTTTGAACATTTTCTGCCTTTTATCCACATGGCTAACGATAACCTCCAGGAGAATGGCACATGCCTTCTCAGGCTAACATTTTCCACTGACATGAAGTGGAAAGATTATATCGAATCAATTGCTAAGTCTGCTGCTTCTCCATGTTGTGCAAGAAAATTTACTTAGCCTTAATCTATCTTAGATGTTTGTAAGTCTGCCATTTAATTATGTTTATAATATTGCTACCACAAATGGTCTGGTGCTCTTGCTATGTATTTAGAGATCCTTGATAAAACTCAAAGAATTTGCAATGTCATTAGTTCTGACCTGGCATCTCTGCTTCTCTCACTTTGCTGCTGTTGTAATGTAGCTTCTCGATAAATAATTTCAGGGTAAGTGTTCTGATGAGTTCTCCTCTATGGTAGCTAGACTTTATGAATTTAATCACAGTACTAAACTGGCAGGTAGGTCTCATTTTCATTTTTGAAATCACTAGATGTAACCATAAATTCTTTGAGATTTTCCTCATGTTTCTTGCTTGTGGAACTCTTCTGGCTTCTCACTTTCCAATCCAGTTTGCATTTAAATTTTTGAAGATCAATGTCAATTGTTATCTTCTGTTTTAATTTCTAGTCTTTTATTGTTCTAGAACCTTCATAATGTTTTTCAAATATTCTTTCACATTTGGTAACACCCTGTGTGTTTTTTGTGATGTCAATGAATACTTGTCACTTTTGAGATGCTTGTTTTAGTAGAGACTTTGTAATACCAGATACAACTATAACAACACCAGTTTTCAATACTGGTGTCAGACACCTTTGGACAACACCTGCACTAATATTACTTGCTTCATAATACTTGCTCAAATAGTAACCACCGAATAGTGATCCAAATAGTAATCCTTATAGTGAACACTTAGACGCCACGCAAGTTCCTATATACATTTCCTTTACCATCATGTGATCTACTTATTCAAAATGGAATCACCTGTGTTTGCTCTCTGGTGATCTGTGTTCAAACTCCAGTGTTGGCAGCGACACTTTATTCCTATATAATAGTGTTAGTGGCTTTGTTACCTTGTTTGGAGTGAAATGATTTTTTAAAAAAAAATCCACATGGAATTTGTAGATTTTTATTTCTGGATTAGACCGATTGTTATCGAATGTGTCGTTTCACTTTTAAGAAATTGTCACAATTTCTGGTAAGTTTTGTATGCTGGGTAAAGAAAAAAAAAAACTTTGTTTTCATTTACCTATATATTGGGCCTCCAAAACTTTTGGTAAATATTTTTTTTTTTTTTTTTTTTTTTTTTTTTTTATCAAGTATTGCAATATGAAACTAGGTGGGTAAGAAAAACAAAGATCATCTTACCCTTTCAGTACGTGGTTTGCCATCAACCTCTAACCTTCGGGTCTTCACTCCTTTCCTCACTTGTATATAAATAGTTTACTAATAGCTATTTACGTAATAAAGTGGTTTGGATTAGCTACCTCCAAATGAACAAATTGTAATTCTATAGATCTTTTATAAAGCCAGTGAGTACGGTGTCTGCCTTTTGGCACTGAAAATTTTCTATTGTTGTTATGAATTACGTGTTGTCAGTGCTATTTATAATGATGAGGTCACAATATTCTTTATATCATGTTGATAGCTATAGCACTTTTGAGTATATCTTAGGGTTAATCAGTGCATGAACGAGGAAATTGGACCAGAAAGGAAGCAGTCAGAAGGTGAAAGTTGTAAATATGACTTATTAAAGGAATACAACACGGTAAATAAAACATACATTATGCTGGGTCAAAAACATAAATTGTATTTTTTTTTTTTTTTCTCCTCCTCCAGACAGTATAAAAAATATCGTGATTTAATAAATTAGCTATTTTTGAATTTCTAGTATTTGTATGTCTATAATTCTCAAAATGTGTGTATGTGTGTTTATGCATTTCCAGTGTTTTCATCTGATTTCGATAATTGTTTTTTGTTTGATAGATAATTCTTCAGTGCTAATTTTGAGTCCAGATTCGCTGGAAAAAATTACAATCTTGATGATGAGAAATCAAAAAAAACTGATTTTTTTTTTTTTACATTTTGCACAAAAATCAAAGGCAGATTTAATGTCTGTATAAAATAAAAAAAAAAAAACGTAGTCAGTTTAAAAAATCTAATGCAAAAGATTATTAGAATTATAAAAATAAAAATATATTATAAATAAAAATTATTGTGGCTGTCAATGGTTACTGAGTGTGAAGGATACAGGTTGGTGGCAAATCATATACTGAAAGGGTAAGATGATCATTTTTCTTACCACCTAGTTTCATATTGCAATCTCTATAAAAGGCTGTGTGTGACGAATGCACGGCCACAATTTTTGACAGATTTGCCCCCAAATTTACATGAACATGCTCCAAGTTAGCAGGAAGGCCAAGACTGACTTTGCATTTCCCAACTCCCATCCATAGTGGAAATAATCGATTTTTTTTCATGCTTCCACCGTAGTTTTCATGTAGTTTTTCTACTGGCCAGAGTGAGAGCCAATAGCTGGCTGCCATGAATAGGCAGGAAGATTCTATTGGCCAGCAGGAGAGCCAACAGCTGACTGACACGTATGTTAACTAGCATGCAAAAAAAATCGATAGCTGCATTCGTCACAAGTGGGAAAAATTTAAATCTGCATGGCACTTTACTCCAATTGGCTCATTCGCTTGCTTAAACTCAACGTTGATTCTGTTTCTGCAGAACTGGGTTGGGTGTGAAAAAGTATTTGTTGTTAACATTCTTTTTTCATTCGGTTTTTCCAGTTACGAGTCCTTTTTTAAAGCTGATCGTTTTGTGTTCATTTTGTTTAGTTCTCTTTTCATAACAGATTTAATGTTTAGTATTGAGCTTAGAAAAAATTTGCAGTGTGAGATAGGCAAGAAGTAAGGCAATGGGCACTCCTTTAAAGGCAAGGAAGGGCAAAAATATTTTAAGTCAAGTGATAGCAATTGCTGTATGAGTTGTGTGATTTTTGAATTAAGCATGGGAAATGCCGGGCCATGCTGCTAGTGTTTAATAAAAATTAAAAAAAATGTACCAAATGTTTTGGAGGTGCAATATATTGGTAAATGAAAACAACATAAAGGTTTTCAAGCAGTGTACAGAACTTATCAATAATTATGAATTTTTTTTTTTTTTTTTTTTTTTAAATGAAACAGCTCTAGTCCAGAAATAAAAATTTACAAATTTCATGTAGATATTATTAATTGTATATGTCCTTTCTATACTGTAAAGCCAGGTCCAAACTATGGTACTCAGGCCCTACAGATTAATTCTCATTTAATTGATAGCACTTTCTTTAGTATATGGCATGATACAAGTAGGGTGATCTTCTGAGCAACTTGATGTTACCTGGAACAATGTTAGTAAAATTGTTCATTCCTTTTCTCATGAGGCCCAGAGCTCCGATTACTATTGGTACAGTCTCGGTCTTTATTCCCCACATCCTGTTAATCTCAATCTCCATGTCCTTGTATCTGGACAATTTCTCATTAATTTACATGGCAATGTTTCTTGATGATGATTCTTATTATTTAAATCAGTACAAAAAGCCCAAACACACACAAAGCCACTAACATGCAAGGGGTTACAGAGTGTGAAAGAATATAAGAAAAACATAAAGGAGAATGAAGATAACAATTGACATTGCATTTAAATTTTTGAAGATCAAAGTTTACTTGAAAGCCAGAAGCCGTTTTAGATTCCCACAAGCAAGAAGTGTGAAACTGTTAGCATAGAATTTAGGTTACATATCATTGCAACTGTAGAATGATGGGGCCTAGCCGCAAAGAAAGAACCTTTCTGCTTTTCTTTATCTTAAGATTCGGATTAGACCAAAAATGAACCGTTGGAGCTGCTCAATATGCTTTCCAGCCTTCAGCTACTCTGACAGCTTTCAGGAGAAATGATATCTTTCCATGTTTCTGCTTTCCCACAGATGCACTGTGACAATGGCTACTTTATGGCTCTTTCCATAGAAAATGTTCAAGCAAGTTCCATTCTTTAGTTCCACCACCAGTTCAGATGTTTACAGCTAAAGCTCACCATGTTAAGTCGATTGTAATTGACCATGCTCGTCCCCCTGTATCACAAATGTAAGGTGGAAGTTCTACTAGGAATGCTCTTTTGCAAAAACTGATTTCTGGAACTGATTATTGTAGGAATGTTTCCCCAAATGTTTTAATCTTAACCTCTTCAAGTCGCGGGTCAATTGTTACCTAGCTACCATAGTCTTATAATCTTACATTCATATCACATGCCTCCTCCAGTAACACTCTACCTTGAGCTGCTCTTGAGCTTTGTATTTGGCGAACAGTAGTGAAAACTAGGCGTGAAATTATGAAATGTCAATGAATGTAAGCTGAATTTTCTTTTTGTAATGCAATGAAGAGGAACTAGTTTCTCTTGACAATTTATTCAAGAATTGAGCAAGAATTATATTTGCTACTTGCATATATTAGGGAGTTCTTTCAATAATACTCTCAAAATACTGTGTAAGATTAAAGGATATTGTTCATTTATGGGGAAGGAGTACTGAAAATATTTTAGCTTCTCTCCTATTCCAAAATCTTATCAGATACCATTTCTCTTTTGTTGCCTGTCCTCCATTTCTCTTTTGTTGCCTGTCCTCCATTTCTCTTTTGTTGCCTGTCCTCCATTTCTCTTTTGTTGCCTGTCCTCCATTTCAAACTGTTGCCTGTCCTCCATTTCCATTTCTCTTTTTTGTTGCCTGTCCTCCATTTCTCTTTTTGTTGCCTGTCCTCCATTTCTCTTTTGTTGCCTGTCCTCCATTTCTCTTTTGTTGCCTGTCCTCCATTTCAAACTGTTGCCTGTCCTCCATTTCAAACTGTTGCCTGTCCTCCATTTCAAACTGTTGCCTGTCCTCCATTTCAAACTGTTGCCTGTCCTCCATTTCAAACTGTTGCCTGTCCTCCTCCATTCCTCCATTTCAAACTGTTGCCTGTCCTCCATTTCAAACTGTTGCCTGTCCTCCATTTCAAACTGTTGCCTGTCCTCCATTTCAAACTGTTGCCTGTCCTCCATTTCAAACTGTTGCCTGTCCTCCATTTCAAACTGTTGCCTGTCCTCCATTTCAAACTGTTGCCTGTCCTCCATTTCAAACTGTTGCCTGTCCTCCATTTCAAACTGTTGCCTGTCCTCCATTTCAAACTGTTGCCTGTCCTCCATTTCAAACTGTTGCCTGTCCTCCATTTCAAACTGTTGCCTGTCCTCCATTTCAAACTGTTGCCTGTCCTCCATTTCAAACTGTTGATTTTGCCAGATAATGCACTCTATCACAGAAACTTAAAATAAAGTCCACTCAGCAGAGCTTCAGTATAAACCATAGGTGGCCTCTGTGGATGTTGAACAAACCCAAATAGGTCTGAGCTGGCTTCTGCAAAAGGGATGATTGGTGTGATCAGCAGTACACTTTCACACTAAGTAGATCCTTGCATCTTAATGGCTTTGTTGCTTTACATGGGGTGAAATGATTAAAAGAAAACAAAGCGAAAAAAAACTACCAGATGGTGAAAAAAAAACCCCATCAAACTCATTGCTGAATTTGAAGGCTTGACTACAGATCAAATCAGTAGGTGAGTGGGTTGAGATGGTTGAATTGGTATGTGACCTCCTCGACAAATTAGTGTGAAAGTTGGCACGTGTGTTTGTATATTTTTTAAAAATTATCTCTTTTCTTTTCTTTTCTTTTTTATTTTATTTTTTTTTTTTTTTTTTTTTTTTTTTTTTTTTTTTTTAACTAAATATTAAGATGGAAGTTTACCTACATCTAAAGTGATAAAATTTGTCAGGTGAATAAATAAAAAATCCATTGCTTCTTTACAAAGCTTCTTTAGAAAATTACTTTGTTTTGATACAAAACTGAGCAGATATGAAAATTTTGGGAGTCTATAAAAAGGATTTTGCTTAAAGGCACTATTTGTTGGCAAAAGTTCTTTGTCATTCAGTTGGTTAGAGAACATTGGATCTATCGATGGTTCCCTCATCCCAGGCAAATGTAGGTTCAAATCCTGCCAGAGAGCATATATTTTCTTAAGATTTCTTGAATATTCAGGCTTGTAGATGAAAATGAATAAATATACTGTTTGATAAATATATAGAGTATTAACTTGAATATGAGTATCCACTAAAAACAATGTTTAAAGTGATAAAATCTGTTAGATTAATAAATAAAAAAAAAATCCATTGCTTTTGTTATAAAACTGAGCAGATATGAAAATTTTCAGCCTGGCTTGATCAGTAGTTGAGATGATTAAACTGGTATGTGACCTCCTGGATAAATAAGTGTGAAATTTGGCACGTTCATATTATATATATATATATATATATATATATATATATATATATATATATATTTTATTTTATTTATTTTTTTTTTTTTTATTTCCATCTTGATACTTAAGATGGAGGTTTACATGCATTTATAATGTTGAATAAAATAGTAGAATTAAACAGCTGAGATTTGATATGTTAAGACCTTGGTGTCTTAAGTCCAATGCTGTAACCACTGATTAATGAACTATTAATTAAAGGTTATATATACAATGTTGTTTTTTTTTTTTAAACATGTTTGGTATAGTGAGCAATGACAGTTTTAAAGACGACTGAAACAAAGAGGAGGTTTTTCCTTAACATCAGGAATAGTCAAAACTTCACATGAGAAAAGAGGGCTTGGAAAATTTTGTTAGAAACAATAGTACTGAAGTGTTGTTTAGTATAATTCCACCTATATTGCATTGAATGTTGGACAAGAAGCAACAGAAATGTGGTTCTGCAGAAGGATGATGAGAATACCATCATCTGAACATGTTTTAAAGAAAATGGAAACTACAAGGACACTTATATTTAATATCAGGTTGACACTTGAAATTTATAGGGCAAATAATGGATGAAAAAGGGTTTGGAAAATATGATACTCACAGGACAAATCAAAGTACAAGGAAATAGTGCATAGCCTAAATGGCAAAGTTGAGTGAATGGATAGTGGAGCAGGGTTTGAGAGAGTTGGTGCAAAGACACATTTATTGAGAGCTACAAAAGATGGGAAGTTGGGGAGAGCCATGATCGCCTGCTTTCTAAAGAAAATTCTAAAATAGTTCTCTTGCATTAGCCAATGTAACTATTTCTCGTTTTCACATATTTTGTGGGGTGGGGAATGATCTTGAAAAGCTTAAAATGATCGTCACTTATCTGTTTACAGTAAGTTTCTCACTCGCACAGAAATAAAATGGGTCAGTTATTTATCTGATTAACTTCTTATATAATTTTATCTTTCATTTGTTTATTTTAAATTTAATGTAGTTTCTCATTCATTTCTTTCAGAAAATCTTTGCTTTCACAGGATATAATCCCCCCCCACCACACACACACTAATACCTGAATAGTCAGAATCAAGTCAGTTAATATTACAAACATCAATATTTCATTGAACTCTGTCAAGGTTGAAACAGGAGATAATTATTTTATTTTTTTTGGTGTTTTTCTTTGTCTTTTGTGTTTTAATGTCGTTTGGTTTTGTTGCCTTCTCTTATATTCTTTTTAATAAGTTACCAACAATGAACTCTCCTCATAGGGGTGGAAGCACTGTATTTGGTTGCTCAGGAGATTTGGCTGAATCTTGTTTTTTTTTTCCCCCACCTGGTTAAAATGTGATTCTGCTTTGGGCTTATAGAAGTTTGTGTTAATATACGAAGTAGCTACTATTGTTAACCACTCATCTGTTCTGCTTCATCATTGCAGAGCATCTTTTTTGCAGTTCTACCAATTGTTACCTGGGAATTCTATGCACCTTTCCTATTTTCCAATGATAGATCTAGACCCATCTCCATTGGAAATTAGAATTTTCAACATCTTTTGTAATAAAAAAAAAAAAAAATTATCTGGAATAGTTGTGCCAGCAGGAATTTAAAAATAAACTTCTAAAATGTTTTTAACTTGAGCAAGAAATGACTTCTATGTTTTAATGCCTCCAAAATGAAACTGCTATCTTTTACTTATCATAGAGAATTATTTTCACCTTTCATCTGCATGGCTGATGCTAACCTCCAAAAGAGCAACTAACTGCGTCTTCATGGTCTCGTGTTTCCTACTCGCATGAAATGAGTGATTTATATTGAATCATTTGTTAGGTCCGCTGCTAGAAATGTTGCTTCATAGGTATCATGCCAGAGAATTTTCTTGCCTGAATCCATCTTGCACATGTATAAATATACTGTCGCTTTCTGCATTGAATATTGCTGCCATATCTGATCTGGCACTTTTTTTTATATGTATCTTGAGATTCTTGACAAAATCCAAAGAATGATCTGTAATGTTATCAATCCTGACCTGGCATTTTTACTTCACTTTCTCACTTCACTTTCTCACCATCATAAAATTGCTTACCTCTGTGTCCTTTCTATAATTTTCTTTTCATGGTAATTGTTCTAATAAGCCTTCCTCCTTGGTACCTCAACCACATGAAGTTAAACATACTGTTAGAATGGCTACTGGGGGGGTGGATTAATGAATAGCAGCTTGGATTGAGGAATCGGAGCCAAGTTCAAATTCCGATCGAATCCATTACATTCTCTTATGTACTAATAACCTTGGGAAAGGTATGAATTCTTTTCCTCTCCTTCCAACTCTGGGTAAATAGCAGGACAGACTGGTTTTCTATAGCTTTGGGTGTCAACCAGTCTGAGAGAAAGTAACTCTGAACTCAAAACTGTATGTAACCCTTTTTTGAACAAGCCTACAGACTTTGAATATCCCACATAAATATTGGCCTTGTGCCACATTCCTGTCTTGTTGGGAGGTCAGTAGATACTGGCTCGATGATCCCCTGCTATGTTTGACAAATGATGACGAGGTCTCATGATTTTACTGTTGAAATAGCTAGATGCTATTAAGTTCTATTCTAATAGTTCCTTTTCTTGCACTCGGTGATGTGCATAGGTTTGGTGATGCCTGGGGCCAAATCCTCAATTGTATGCCTGTAAGAGTCAAGTAACAGGGCCTACCCCAGTCTTGTTTATGAAGACATGGATCCACATTCACACCAGCTTGTGCGACTGTAGGGTACTTGTAGAATAAAGTTAACAATTTCAAAAACTAAATTTTCATTTCACTTTTGATTGGATGCTCGAGGCTGTCACACCTTGCGCTCCATTTCTGCATGCTACTGCTTCCACTTCTCACCTGTGGAACTCTCTTCTGGTTTCTTGCTTCCCTTCCACTTACATCGTTCAAAAATTTAAATACAACATCAATCGCTATCTTTTGTCTTCTTGAATTGTTTTGTTTTTTTGTTTTTTTGTTTTGTTTTTCTTTTATTTTTTCTCATAAGACTTATTCCCTTTCATTCCTAGTAATCCCTTGTCTCAGTGGCTTTATCACCTTGCTTGGGGTGAAAAGAATAAAAAAAAAAAAAAAAACAAACCCAAAAACTTTGTGCTAGGTCAAATAGATATAACTGTTTTTTGATGCAGCATGATTCCTGTAAAAAAAAAAAAATAATACCATGGAGAAAATTATTTGAATATTGTGTCATACCAAATAAGTTTGATACTGTTTAGTTCAAGTATTAAATTGAAAAATCTTATTCTGTTGGGATTGTATTTTGTATACAAAACAATTTGAATACTCAGATTCAAGTCATCTGAATCTTACATTAATCTTTTATTTGGCTCTGACAAGGTTGATACTGGGTAGAACAGCTTTTTAAAGGCAGTGCTCAGATATCAGCTGATTAGACAGGAAAATGGTGTCATACTTTTCTAAAAGTCATGTATAATTTTCCTCTGTTCATTTTTGATAATGATATTGGTCCTGACTTGACATCTTGGCTTCAGTCACTTTCTCACAGCCGTAACATAGCTTCCCTGTGCCTTTTCTATAAATATTTTCATGGTAATTGTTCTGATGAACTTTCCCCTTTGGTATTTACATTTTATGAATTTAAGCGCAGTGCTAGATTGTCAGCAAGATCTCCTCATTTTACAGTTGAAATGGTCAGATGTAACCTTAAGTTCTATAACTGTTACTTCTCTCACACTTCTCACTTGTTGAATATTCATTTGTTTCTGCCATCAGTCAAATTTTGCACATACACTATTGTCCTCTTCTTTGTTGTTTTTATCACAATGTTTCGGCAGTTGTGCACTCCAGACTTCATCAGGTGATTTTTTTTTTTTTTTTTTTTTTTTTTTTTTTTCAAAAATTTAAATATATCAATTTTTATCTT